ACTTACTTCCTGCTTCCTGTGTCCTTTTGCCTATCCCTATCCTCCACCTTATAGCTTGTTCCAGGCCAAAGTGAGTGCGAGCAGCAAGGAGCGGCAGCAAGGAGCGGCACTCGTGCTCATTGTCCCGGCGCATGCAACACCGGCTCAGACACTCTGCTCTGACGAGAAGCTCCCTCTGGCTGGCGCCTAACTACAGGTACGCTCACCGCACTCTGAGTACAGGGCAGCGCTTATGCCCGATGCATGCAGGAGTGGATAACGCACAGTCAAGCTGTAAATATTTGCAGACCTGGAAGAAACGAACAACTGCGTAATTTTAGTGTCGGGTTAGGTGGGATGATCTTGACATGCTTCGTATGCTGTGTGCCTTGCTCTGGTATATAGTACAGGCGATGTTTTAGCTCGTCTCCTCACCTGCAGGCTGTAACTCCTCTCCTCTCCTTTAGGTTGTAGCACGGTTTGTTTTGAGTCTTTGGATAGAGAGCAAAGGAGGAGAGGGAGTAGAGGACGAAACATGTAGAGGAGGAGAAGAAGCAGACAAAGATACATGCAGAGGAGAGGGAGCAGCGGACTTTGCACTCAGGAGGGGAGAGGAGAGGGAGCAGCGGACTTTGCACTCAGGAGGGGAGAGGAGAGGGAGCAGAGGACCATACGTGCAAATGAGGCGAGGGCACTGAGGCGGAGGAGAGGGAGCAGAGGACCATACGTGCAAATGAGGCGAGGGCACTGAGGCGGAGGAGAGGGAGCAGAGGACCATACGTGCAAATGAGGCGAGGGCACTGAGGCGGAGGAGAGGGAGCAGAGGACCATACGTGCAAATGAGGCGAGGGCACTGAGGCGGAGGAGAGGGAGCAGAGGACCATACTTGCAAATGAGGCGAGGGCACTGAGGCGGAGGAGAGGGAGCAGAGGACCATACGTGCAAATGAGGTGAGGGCACTGAGGCGGAGGAGAGGGAGCAGAGGACCATACGTGCAAATGAGGCGAGGGCACTGAGGCGGAGGAGAGGGAGCAGAGGACCATACGTGCAAATGAGGCGAGGGCACTGAGGCGGAGGAGAGGGAGCAGAGGACCATACGTGCAAATGAGGCGAGGGCACTGAGGCGGAGGAGAGGGAGCAGAGGACCATACGTGCAAATGAGGCGAGGGCACTGAGGCGGAGGAGAGGTAGCAGAGGAGGACAAGAGGTTGCCGCAGCAGCATACGTGGTAAGATCCGACTTTCGCTTTATTCCAGTCCTCCTTCCTTCATCTTGTTTGCCGTTTTTTAGGCATCCTGTCCTGAAGCTCTTCTCTCGTAACACTCCTTCACCTCACCGTATGCTGTAGTTTAGATTTACCTCTGTTGTGATGTTCGGCAGCAGAGGAGGGCGCAGAGGACGCAGCCAAGTGGGAGTAGAGATATGTGAGATGAGGGACAAAATTATTTATGTGGTAAGTCTCCTCTGGTAGATCCTTTTCCTTCGCATTCGTCAGTTTTGCTTCCCATGCCACTCCTTTTCTGCCAGATGGAGCAACGGTCAAGTGGCATTCCCATGTTGCACGCCAAGATCCTCTCCACATTTCCATGCGTCACCTAGCCAGCCCTCTCTTTCTGCTTTGAACGTTGTCGCTGCTCCTCCCATACCTTCCTTGTCTCTTCCCCTGCCTTTCATTCTGCAGTTGAACACAGCACGGGAGTGGCAGCAGCAGCAATATCAGCAACGGACAACAAGCAAGGGCGAATATACCAAGCCCTATTTCCTCGAAGAGGAACAACGCCGTACGCTCCTCATCCCCTCCCGTCCCGCTTTTCCTCAAAGCTCTGTCCTCCGTCCACTCTTGCTTCCTTCCATCCCTAAACTCTTGACGTAACTTCTCTCATATCCTCCTGTGCCGCTGTCTGACAAACAGGCACGGCAATGGCAGCATGGGACGGTCTACAGGCACGGCAATCACATCGTTTTCTTATGGTTGTTGTTGCTCAACACTCTTCTTCTCTTTTTCTCTTCCCCCAGGCTCGGCCTCTCTGTTGCATCTCCTCTCCGTTTCTCATTTCTTTTCCCTTCGCTGCTCTACCTTCAGATGCCTTATTTCTTATTTCTCCTCTCCTCTTTCTTCACATTCCTTACTTTTCGGCTCTTCCCCTTCTCTTTCTTCACATGCAGTTTCCCTCGTGTTTCTTCCTTCAGGTGTGATCAGCAGGGAGCAACATGCTGGCTGCAGCATTGGAGCACGAGAGTGCACGAGAATAGCACGTGCTTTGACGACTTTCCTTGTTGTGAGTTTCTGCACCCACCCCTTTTTCTTCTACACCACACTTGCATGGCGCGCCAATACCCCTTCCATCCCCACACTTCCTGTCCATGTCTCACAGTCCTTTGCCTTCCATGGCCGTTTCTCTCTCTGCCCGGCAACACAATTCCGCTGTGACAGAAATGGAACCATAATCTTCATCGTTAGCTGACATGCTCGTGTCCTTTGATCTTCTCCTTGTCTCTCATATGCCCATCGCTCTTTCACTCCTTCGTTTCGGGTTTGTTGCTGACTAGACAGGATTGGATGGTGATGTGGGGATTGCGATTGCCTGGTGGATCCAACTGGAGTGGCCAACTGGTGAATTGCTCATCGTTGTCGGTGAAGGTGAGAAAAAACCAACCGAACACAGACTGAACCTCAAAGACAGCATATCTTATCATATCATATCACAGCATATCACAGCATATCGTATCGTATCGTATCGTATCATTAGTATCAGATCATATCGTATCGTATGTGTACATTGTTTAGGTATCCAATCATGTAAATCGTTTACCCCAATCGGACAACACCCATAATTGCATATCGTATCTTATTTCATCACATATAGAAGCCAAACTCTTGCCTGCCTTGCCACCTCCTCTCGTCTGCTTGCAGGACAGCCACGTGCTTGCAAGATGGAAGATGAAGAACAAATATGCTAGAGTAGATAGGCTATCTAGACTAGTAACGCTCTCAGGTATGGTACCCCCCCCCCCCCCCCCCGCCCTCCTCCTTGACCCCCCAAGATCGTAACCCACCCACCCCCCGTTACTTCATCCCATCCCTTCCCCTCCCCTCCCCTCCAACCCCCCTCCCCATTCGTAAGCACTTCCCTACATCCCCTCCCCCTCGCTGCATTGTCCCCCCCCATTCCTCCCTCAGCGACCTACCACCCCATGTAACCCACCAGCAACCCCCAGTGTAGACTAGGCTAACAACAGGACTAACCACAGGGCTAACAACAGGGCTAATCACAGGGCTTGTGCCTCCTCGCACGCTAATCACAGGGCTTGTCCAATGAACGGAATGCCAGACATTAAACACAGTGCTTGTGCATGGAAGCTCACTAACTGCAGGGAATTTGCATTGAGCCCAGGGTTTGCCCATAAAGGAATGCTAGCGACACGGCTAGTGCAGCAAAGTAGGCTAACCACAAGACTTGTGAGATGGCTTCCAGAAAGCTGCACGTCAGAGCACTCTAATTACAGGTGATGTACAGTGCTTGTCCATCAGAGCATGTTAACCACAGGGCTTGTGCACCAGTATGGGTTAACCACAGGGCTTGTACATCGGGTGTACATGGTATGGTAGTCACAGGGCTTGCGTAGAGGGGAAACTTATTACAGGCACGGGGGCATGCTAACCATCGGGCTGTTGTATTTGGGAGCACTAGGTATGGGACATGTTTACGGGCACATCGAGTACGGGCTGTTGCACTGTCTCTTTAAGCACATCTAGGAGGGCTCTGATTTGCAATGCAGGGCACACTAACTGCTGCGATCAAAAGTTGATCGTGGCCTAGGATCTACTCAGGAAGGTCCTGCAGGGAAGTGGTGTTGGTGGGCCCTTGACCTCAAGGGCAGAGTGAATGTAAATGCTTGAGATGATTAAGACATGCAATACAACGATATAAATTAGAGTACAGGGGAATATGAATCGACCTAGCTAGCCATGTACTCTAAGGGGTACATTCCCTTATTCAAATACATTCCCAACTGTGCGGCGTGAACAGTTACGAAACTGTTCCCGCCGAATCCATCCTGCCTGCAGCTGCCTGATGCTGTCTGCTCCGACGGTTCAGATGCGTTCCAACCGTCTGACGCTTCGCGTTCATTCGCGATACTGCGTGCTTCTCTTTGCTGCGGTGAGGAGTGCACAGTAATATTCAAGTATTACTATTCGTAACACTAACAACAAACTACTGCACACAGGCACACTAACCACATGCTCATGTATTGGTTGGATTGGAGCATGTACTTGTTACAGGGTTTGTGCATCGTATCACTCTGAACACGAACTTGTTCATGGAGACACGGCTTGGTGCAGGGCGTGTGGCACAGGGAGCACCAGGAAAACCCAGAAGTTTCATTTTGCACGCTTCACCCACCTCACCAGTCACCTCTAAGACTAGGAACCTTCTAGGTAGAATCTGTTTGTACCCTGTGAGTGTTATGCAGTTCTGGGCATATGGTTTTGTTTGAAATTCCACCCCAGCATTGACCATTCTCGTTACAGTGCTCTATGGGCTGTTGTCAGCAATTTCTGTGCTGCTGTGTGTGCCTCCTCGGTGCGTCCACTCCACCCGCCAAATCATCCAACCAATCTGCGGCAAAAGCTGAGTCGTGTGATTCGCGAGTGGAGTTTCCACCTGACGAGGAAAGGCACCTAGTAGCTTATCTAAACTTGAATGCAGTTTTCGCGACTACGGCTCTAGTCCACAGAGTCTGGTTGGTGTAAATCGCAGTGTAGAGCAGGCCGTGTGTACCGTGAGTTTCTGTCAAGATCTAGTGCTCCCTTACCATTACCCCGCGGTTTTGAAAATAATAGTTTGGAGAGCTGCGTAACGCTCCATTGCGGCTTTCCAGTCCTTATTGTGGTTCCCCTTTTTACGTCAATCCTAACTTCCCTCACTTGTTCCCATGTAGCCTTTCGTGTGTTGACTATCTCGACAGCAATCCTTGCCTGTGGCTTAATGTTCTCCCTTTAGTTCGTCTTTGAAACCATGGCGAGCCGATTAGGATCATCGACAATGGCCGTCGGGAGAACGGCAGGTAGAACCGGTGCAGGTAGGGCTGCTCTCAGTGGCACGCGCGCGCACGTGCGAGCGTGCCAGCTCAGCACGGAGATCCACACGCTATTGGCCGTCATGCGCCAGAGCTCCAAATGGGCTGTCTCCCCGATTTTCCTCGACGAGACCTCCGGCGCCGACGCGGAGGATCCGCTTTTGCGCAATCTTAAAGCCCTAAGGCAGAAGATCGTCACCGATTGGTCAGACGACGACTGGGAGGCGGCGCGCGTGCCGCCTTCCGCGTACCTCACGCCGTTTCTCGACGTCGTGCGATCCGAGCGAACAAACACGATTGTTACCAGCGTCGCATTGTCGTCAGTGCTCAAGATCCTGAATCTGCAGTTTTTCGACGAGTCGACGCCCGGCGCGGCGGTGGGGATCCACATGGTCATGGACGCGGTCACGTCGTGCCGCTTCGAGGTCACGGATCTCGCGTCGGAAGAGGCAGTTCTCGTCAAAATTCTCCAGGTAACCGTGTCGCGTCTTAGAATACCACGTGTCAAGGTAAGCACGTTGCGACGAAGCGGTCCTCGTCAAGATCCTCCAGATAACCGCGCCTTAAGGTAACTGCTTGGGACATGGGTACCTGGAGCAGTCACCTCCAGGACATTGTGACAATCCTAGACTCGGTACCTCTCCAGGTACCCACATGTCGAGGTCGCCACGTCTCGTTTTTACCACGTCTCGAGGTAAGTGTCTCTTATTGTGATATTTTTCCTGGGAGCGATCATTGTCGAGCGCTCACTGATTCTCCTCGTGGTTCTCCTGACCCTGCCATGAACGTTTAGGATTCAGCCGTTCAGGTGCACCTCGAAACCTAGCTTCGCGGCTGGAGCCGTTCAGCCGTTCACGGCCTCTATGTCGTCCCGTCCCCTCCCATCCACACCCCCACATTTCACCCGCCAGGTTCTTTTGAAGACAGTCCGCAGCCCTGCGGGTCCCCTGCTCTCCGATCGTCACATGTGCAGCATCGTGAACACGTGCTTCCGCGTGCTGCACCATGCAGCCTCCAGTCTGTGATTCCCCCCTCCCCTTCCCACCTCCCCCCTCCGATTCCCCCATCCCACCCTCCAGGTTCTTCTAGAAACGGTGCGCAGCCCTGCCGGTCCTCTCCTCTCCGATCGTCACATTTGCAGCATCGTGAACACGTGCTTCCGCGTGCTGCACCAGGCCGCCTCAGCCTATGCGTCTTCAAACCCCCCCCTTTCCCCCTTTTCCCCCCTCCCCTCCCCACACCCTCCAGGTTCTTCTAGAAACGGTGCGCAGCCCAGCGGGTCCCCTGCTGTCAGATCGCCACATGTGCAGCATCGTCAACACGTGCTTCCGCGTGCTGCACCAGGCGGCCTCTAAGTCACTGATTCCCCCCTTTCCCCTTCCCTCCCCATCCCCCAGGTTCTCCTGGAAACCGTGCGCAGTCCTGCCGGTCCCCTGCTGTCAGACCGACACATGTGCAGCATCGTGAACACATGCTTCCGCGTGCTGCACCAGGCGGCCTCCAGCCTATTTGTCTTGCATTTCCCCACCCCCCCGCCCTTTTCACCCCACTCCGCAGGTCCTTCTAGAAACGGTGCGCAGCCCAGCAGGCCCACTCCTCTCGGATCGCCACATGTGCAGCATCGTCAACACGTGTTTCCGCGTGCTGCACCAGGCGGCCTCCAAGAGCCACCTGCTGCAGCGCCTCGCCTGCCAAACCCTCCTCGACATGGTCCGCGAGATTTTCGGGCGGCTGCCCGAGCTGCCCGCGAGCGAGGAGGAAGGGGAGCTGGGGGAGGCCGAGGCGACGCAGGGGACGATGGACAGCACGCCGTTCTCGCCAAGAGTGGAGGCGAGGGAGGGGGGCGGGGAGGAGGGGGTGCAGGAGGGTGCGTTGGAGCTTGGGGGAGGGATGGTGGAGGAGGGGGGCGGAGGGGAGGGCCGAGATGGTGGCAATGCTGGTCAGGTGAGTGTGGTTGAACCGGGTCAGGGAGTGGAGCTGCGAACAGGGAAAAGGTGGGGGGAAGGCGAGGCGACACAGGGGACGATGGACAGCACTCCGTTCTCCCCTCGGGTGGAAGCGAGGGAGGGGAGCAGGGAGGAGGGGGTGCAGGAGAGTGTGTTGGAACTAGGGGGGGCGGTGGTGGAGGAGGGGGGTGAAGGGGGTGGGCGAAATGGTGGGAATGCTGGTCAGGTGAGTGCGATTGAAGTGGGTTTCTGAAACGAAAAGGGGGGGGGGAGGAAAGGGGGGGGGGGGGGGGAGGAGGACAGGTGTGATGCGCGTTTGCGGGGATGGCCGAGACGGTGGGAATGCTGGCCAGGTGAGAGCGGTTGAACTGGGTCTGATCAAGTGGGTGGGGGAGTGGGGCTGGGAACAGGGAGAGGGGGGGGTTGTGGGGGGATGTTCGAATGAGTCTTTTTTATATTCCTCTGCCTTGTTCCGTGTGTCTTATTTTTTGCTCGACTCGTCCCCTGTCCCCTGCGTGCTGCTACCTATGCTGCTGCCCCTGCTGCATCTTTAAGGCGTTTCAAAGCGCACCATCTGTGTTGCTGCTGCTGCTGCTGCTGTTGCCATGCAGGGTGAAGCAGGTCCCATCCCAGTAGGCGCAGCAGGAGGGGTGGCTGTAGTGAGTGCCACAGACAGAACCAGCGCCAGCAGCACCGCCAGCGAACCCCATTCCACGCCAACACCCAATGGCCTTCCTCCCACCTCAGCCTCGGCACCCGCCAAACCTCCCCCTCCCGCCGAGCCTGTCGAATGGCCCGGGGGACAGCGCGGCTCAAGCAGAGAAGCCGCAGGCGAGGGAGAGGACAGGGAGGAGGGCGAGGAGCGGGGGCAGGCAGGCAGCAGCAGCAACAGAGCGTTGGTGGGAGCGTTGGGGCGCCCGCATGGGGTGGCGTGTGCAGTGGAGGTGTTTCACTTCCTCTGCTCGCTGCTAGGCCTGGAGGACCATCAGTCAGCGCTCTTTGCCTCGGGCATGCTAGCAGACGATGACGTCTCTCTGCTGGCCCTCAGCCTCATATCGGCTGCTCTGGAGCTTGCTGGGCCAGCGGTGGTACACCACCCGCGCCTGCTGTCACTAGTTCAGGACGAGCTGTTTCGGTCACTGCTTCAGCTGGGACTCTCCCCCAACCTGCTCGTGCTCTCCCAGGTACGATGCTACTCTCGGGTCTCCCTCCCAGGTATGAGCCTCCTCGGCCTGGAGGACCATCAGTCAGCGCTCTTTGCCTCGGGCATGCTGGCAGACGACGACGTCTCGCTGCTCGCCCTCAGCCTCATATCGGCTGCGCTGGAGCTTGCTGGACCGGCGGTGGTGCACCACCCGCGGTTGCTTTCCCTCGTGCAGGACGAGCTGTTCCGCTCGCTGCTGCAGCTGGGACTGTCACCGAACCTGCTCGTGCTCTCCCAGGTATGGGCCTTCAGGTAACTCAAGGTATTGCCGCACCTCACCTCTGTGTACCGCAGTGTACCGCTGTCAACCTCTGCCTCTTCATACTCTGCACTTGTTCCCATCCGCGCACCTAGGTCCTAGCCATGCTGCAGGCAGCCGCTCGTCCACTTGTCCCGCCCTCCCCAAGCTGCACCTGTTCATCTCTGCTCTGCTCCCCCCCAACCCAACATGTACCTCTGCCTGTTTTCTTCCCCCTTCCACGCGTCCCACACCTCTCACCCTCCCCGAGTGGTCGCCATAGTGCAGACACTACTCCATTCTGCCCGCACGTACCTTTCTCCTCGTGCTCTCTCCACCCTCCACCGCTCCCCACCCTCACCTTCCATCCCCCCCAGGTCCTGGCAATAGTGCAGATCCTCTTCCATTCGGCCCGAGTACACCTGAAGCTGCAGCTGGAGGTTGTTTTTACCTCTGCTCGCCCCAACCTGTACCACTGGCTATGCCTCTGCCCTGTCCACGTGCCCCACACCTCCCATCCCCCCCAGGTCCTAGCCATAGTGCAAACGCTCTTCCATTCAGCCCGTGCGCACCTGAAGCTGCAGCTAATAAGCCTCCTTCACCTCTGCTCCCCTTCCATGCGCCCCACCATCGTGTCCCCCCCTCTCCCTCCCCCAGGTCCTGGCCATAGTCCAGACGCTGCAGGGTGTTTTTGAGAATTCTCAAAAACACCGTCCAGACGCTTTTTCACTCAGCCCGTGCGCACCTGAAGCTTCAGCTAGAGGCCTTCTACACCTGTGCTCCCCTCAACTTGTACCTCTGCCTGTGCCTCTGCTCCTTGCATGCGCCCCACTTCTCAACCCCCCCAGGTGCTCGCCATAGTGCAGACACTCTTTCATTCAGCCCGAGCGCACCTGAAGCTGCAGCTCGAGGCGTTTTACACCTGTGTCATCGCCCGCCTCGTCGGCACAGCAGGAAAGTTCACCGCGACTTCCTTCGCGCAGCAGGAAGCTGCCCTGGAAGCCCTCCTCGACTTTTGCCGCCTGCCCGAATTCGCCGTGGAAACTTACGCCAATTTTGACGCCGACCTCACATGCGCGAATTGCCTGGAGGAGCTTTCAGGACTGCTGTCTCGAGCAGCCTTCCCTGTGAACACACCGCTATCATCGCTGCATGTGCTGGCTATGCAGGGGTTGCTGGCTGTAGTGCATCATATGGCGGACAGGGCCAATGCGGCTGCCGCTGCTGGTGTTGCCGCTGGTGCTGGTGGTGGTGTTGCGGTTGCGGGTGCAGGGGATGGTGCTGGTGTTGGAGCAGCACCAGCCCCGTTGCTGCTGCTGCCAGGTTCGGCCGTGCCAGCGGCGCCGGAGCTGAAGATAGCTTCGGAGAACGGAGCCATGTGGACGCAGGCTCGGGAGATGGTTGCTGCTGCTCTCGCTGCAGCTGCTGCTTCTGGGGCAGGCGAGGCAGCAGCAGGCAAGCAGGTGGGCGTGTCAGCATCTGTCGACGGGTTTCAGGGACAGCAGAACGAGCATCAGCATCACCACCACCACCATCAGCAGCAGCTTCTGCTAGTGGAAGTAGTGCGGCAGCAGAGGTCCATCAAGCGCCGCCTGCTGATAGGCGTCGAGCATTTCAATCGGGACTCAAAGAAAGGCCTGCAATTCCTCCAAGCCTCCACGCTGCTCCCCTTGCAGCCCGACGCCCGCGCAGTCGCCTGCTTTCTGCGCTTCACACCGGGACTTAACAAAACACTAGTGGGGGACCTGCTGGGCGGGCACGAGGAGTTCCACGTCCGCGTTTTAGGGGAATTTGCTAAGCTGTTCGACTTCGAGGGCATGGCGCTGGACGCGGCGCTGAGAACCTTCCTGGAAGGGTTCAGACTGCCGGGGGAGGCGCAGAAGATATCGAGAGTGCTGGAGGCGTTTGCAGAGCGGTACTATGAGCTGGCGCCCGCTGCGTATGGGTTTGCGAACCATGATGTGGCGTATGTGCTGTCGTACTCTGTCATCATGCTCAACACTGACCTCTATAATGGCCAGGTGCGTGGGTGCAGGTAGTTGCTGTGTGGTTCGTAGCATCATGAGCGTGTGCTGCTGAGAGTAAGATTTCTGCCTCCTGCCAGGCGTATGTGCTGTCGTACCCTGTCATCATGCTCAACACTGACCTCTACAATGGCCAGGTGCGTTGAATGGCCTGAGTTGTTGTGACGTGTGGGTGAGTGTGTACTGTCGTACTCTGTCATCATGCTCAACACTGACCTGTACAATGGGCAGGTGCGTTGAATGGCTTGAGTTGTTGTGACGTGTGGGTGAGAGTGTGTGCTGCTGGGGGTATGAGTTCTCCCTCCCTGTATGCTTGTGTATGCTGCTGTCGTACTCTTTCCTCATGCTCAACACTGACTTGTACACAACAGACTCATGCGTGGGTGGCTTATCTGTTGACTGGAATGAGTTGTTGTGAGTCGTGGCATGAAGTGAGTGTGTGCTGGGAGTATGAGTACAGTACTCCCTCCCTTCATGAATGTGTGCTGTCATACTCTGTCATCATGCTCAACACTGACCCGTATAATGGGCAGGTTCGTGAGCTCATGATGCATATATTATCTGGTTCTGTCTGTGCGCTTGCAATGAGTATTTCTCCCCTCTTCCTGCCCTTCCTCTCCTGTCTCCTCAACCACCCACCCCCCCCCCCCCCTCCCCCCCCCCCAGGTGCGGCGCAAGATGACGGAGGAGGAGTTCATCCGCAACAACCGGAAGATCAACGACGGCAAGGACCTCCCAAGAGAGCTGCTCTCAGAGCTCTACCATGCCATCGCCCGCAACGAGATTAAGATGTCCTCCGACGTCTCCCTCTCCTCCTCCTCCGCCTCCGCCTTCCCTGAGATGAATCTCAGCCGCTGGCTCGGGCTGATCCGACGGTCGCCGACCGCCGTGCCTTACATCCTCGCATCTAGTGCTGAGCCTGAGTTTACTCCTGCTTCTGCTGCTACTGCTGCTGCTGCTGCTGCTGCTGCTGCTGCTGCTGCTGCTGCTGCTGCTGCTGCTGCTACTGCTGCTGCTGCTGCTGCTGCTGTGGCTGGCGATGGCATTGGTGATGGTGGTAGTGGTATCGGTGCCAGTGCTGTTGCTGCTGCTCTGGGGGACAGAGCCAGCACTGACAATGCTGCATGTGATGCCTCGCCCTCTCAGTCTCTTGACTCCGCCACTCCCGCTTTCCTCACTTCAGAATCCCTCCCTCCCGCCCCCCCTCTCCTGCAGTCCTCCTCCCCACCCCGCCCCTCCCCCCCATCCAAGCACCTCTCCCCACTCTCCCCTCCTCTCTCCAACCTCTCCCTCCCGCGCTCCTCCTCCCTCTTCCTGCTCCAACTAGACAGAGACGTGTTTGCAGTAGTGGCAGGCCCAGCCATAGCAGCCATATCAGTTGTCTTCGACCACACAGAAGACGACGAGTCCCTCCTCCGCTGCTGCACTGACGGGTTCTCAGCCGCTGCTGACGTGGCGGCTTTTCACGGGTTCTCGGGTGCGTTGGACGATCTAGTGGTCTCCCTCTGCCGATGCACCACGCTCCGCCTGAACCCCTCCGGATCGCTGCCAAGTGGCGCCGATCTAGTGGACAACGCAGCAGCCGTGGCTTTTGGAGAGGACACCAAGGCTCGGCTGGCCGCCGTGACTGTCTTTGGTTTGGCAAACAGGCACGGCGGGGTGGTTCGGGGAGGGTGGCGGAACCTGCTCGACTGTGTGGTTCGGTTGCACAAGCTAGGATTGCTGCCTGCTCGTGTTATTAGCGAGGTAGAGGATACAGAGGACGGGGCATTCGCAGGGGGGTTATACGCCTCCCCACAACCACAGCAGCAGCCGCAGCAACAGTCACAGCAGCAGCCGCAGCAGCAGCAGATGGGAACGAGTCCCACCCCTTCCTCCTCCACTATATCATCTACCACCACCGCTGCCACATCAACCCTGGCCATCACAAGCCCGGCAGCAGCAGCAGCCCGCAAGAATGGTGCCGGCAGCGGCAGCGGGGGCGGGGGAGGGCTGATGATGCGTTTCTCCCAGCTGCTCCTTCTGGATTCTGATGACGACTACTCGTACGGCGGCGCCAGCTCAGCGCAGCCCACGGAGCGCCAGGTGGCGGCGCGGCAGCGCACGGAGGAGGCGGTGGGGGCGTGCCGGATCGAGGAGCTGTTCCGGGAAACCTCAGAGGGGCTAGAAGCAGAAGCACTGATGCACCTCGTGAGGGCCATTGTGTGGGCTGCTGGCAGGGCTTTTAGGGGCGCGCTGGGGGTGGGCCCTGGTGGGGCTGGTGGGGGGAGTGCTGGGGGCGCGGGGGGAGGGGCTGGTGGGGGCGGGATGGGGGGAAGAGGAGGCGGAGGGGGAGCAGGAGCGGGAGCGGGGGGAGGAGGTGGTGGTGGGGGAGGGGGGGTGGCTGGTGGGGCGTCTGTGGGGGGAGGAGTGGGGAGTGGAGGAGGGATAGCTGTCGGCCCTCTATCACCCGATGAAGAGGACACAGCAGTCTTCTGCCTGGATCTGCTCCTCGTGGTAACCCTACGTAACCGCTCCCGCGTGCTGCTCATCTGGCCGCTCCTCTCCTCCCAGCTTGCAATCATCATGCAGTCGGCCCATGCGGGTCCGCCACCTGGCCCACTGGTAGAGCGAGCCGTCTTCGGTCTCCTCCGCCTGTGCAGAAAGCTCCTACCAGCAGCCGATGAAACCCTAGCTGATGAGCTTCTAAGGTCCCTGCAGCACGTGCTGAGACTCGATGCCAGGCTGGCTGATGCCCTCTGTGAGAGGATCACTCGCGGCGTGTTGGGGATTGTGAGGGAGGGGCGGCAGAGCGGGGCGCTGCGGAGAGTGAAGTCGCCTCCTGGGTGGAGAACGCTCGCTGCTCTGCTGGCCATCACAGCCAGGCATCCTGATGCTGCTGCTCCCGGGTTCGAAGCCCTCTCGTGGCTCATGGCGCCCATTCCCCCGGGTGCTGCTGCTCCCGGTGCATCTCCCGCTGCTCTCGCGTCGGATTTCTCTGCTGGTGCTGTGGAGGATTATGGGGAGGTTTGCACTGATGGGCCGCCCTGCGTGTCCCCGTGCAACTTCATCCCGTTCCTCGACGCGGCTCGAGACTTCGCCGAGGCTCGGGTGGGAGGTTCGGAGCGGTCGAAGCGGGCGATGGACCTGCTGGGGTGCTTGATAGACTGTCTGCTGGAGTGGAGAGTAGCAGGGGAGATGGAGCAAGCAGCAGAGGCGGACCGACTAGCAACAGCAGCAGCAATGGCAGGAGGCGGTAGGAGTGAGGGAGACAGTTTGAGCAGTGCTGTTTCCGGTGCATTTTCCCCGCAGCAACAACCTCCCCCGTCAGCCGCCCTCTCTCCCCCGCAACTAAGCCCCATACCCTCTTCGTCACCAGCAGGGGCTGCTGCAGCCGGGGGAGGCACATCTGGAGCAGGGCGGTTCTCAGGGCAGGACTTGGCAGACCTGTGGCTGCGCCTGCTGCACGCGCTGCGCCGGGTGTGCTCAGACCAGAGAGAAGACGTGCGGAACCATGCTCTCGTGTGGCTGCAGCGCTGCCTTCTCGCTGCCGACCCCCTCCGCATGCCCACCACCATGTGGGCTCCGTGCTTCGACCAGGTCGTGTTTGTCCTGCTGGACGATCTTTTAGAGGTGCATTTGCGGGAGAAACCCAAGGAATACCGGGGTATGGACGCGTCTCTGCTCCGTGCTGTCAAGATGCTGTCCAAGGTTTTTCTGCATTTTCTTGCCAGCCTTGCTTCGCTGCCAGGCCCGGGGTTCCGAGCCTTGTGGCTCGGCGTGCTGCTTCGGATGGACCGGTATATGAGGGCTGGAGGGGCTGGGGGCGGCGGGGGGAGGAGGGGAGGAGGAGGTGGGGAGGGGAGAGGAGGGGGAGAGTCATTGAGGGAGAGTGTGGGTGAGGTGCTGAAGAATATGCTGATGGTGATGCTGACACAGGGCGTGCTGCAGGTGACTGACGCGTCAGACACGGAGAGCCTGTGGACTGCCACGTGGCGCGCGGTGCACGCGATGCTGCCGCACTTAAACCCTGAGTCGCTCGTCCCGCCGGCACCGATTGCACCTGCGCCCATGGCTGCGGGTCCTGTAGGTGCTGGTGCTGCAGGGATGGATGGGCAGCAATCAGGAGCGGCCGTGGGAGGTGCGGGGGAGGGTGCCTTGGTGGGTGGGCAATGATCCAGGCTTGATTGGTGTGGGAATCATGGCAGGTGCACTGATTGGGAGCAGCACCCACAGCAGCAGTTCGGATCACAGCAGCATGCACAGCAGCGCGGTCTCTGCGCTTGAGCGTGTGGAGCACATTTGGCATATGGCACAGGAGTTGTGTGCTATTTGAATGAGCAGATTGAAGGACATGGTAAGGCTATTAGCTCGCTTTCTAGTTTATGCAGATGGCACAAAATGGGGTGTGGGACCGTGTTCCTCTCTGGCTGCAGCTCTGAGAGTTGCTTGCTTGCTAGCTACGTTTGTTGAGATATCACACGTGAGGCTTCAATGGCGTCCGATTAGCCAACTAGTCATGGCAAGGTGCCCAGTAATCAATTTCTGGCTAATCAATTTCTGTGGTTTTAGGTTGTGTAGTCGTGACATTCTTGGTACCATAAATATTTGGTGGTAGCTACTGTAATTCCGTGAGCGGCTACCGTTTGTACTCGAAATCCCAAAGCCGAAGCCAATAACGCGGAGAGCGACAGGGGAGAAGCTCGAGGCAGGACTGTCAGACTTCAGCGGCGAGGCGACGCAAGAAATCGGAATTTGGGATCTGGTGGGAGATTCTCATCTCATCCCGTTCAGCTGCACCATGTCACACCGATTCCAGAAAGCTTTGGAAAGCTCAGAACCGCTTTGCAATCATGTATCACTGACCTTGCTCCACACCTTCACAATCGAACTGCATGCTTTCTGCTGGCAAATGCTGTACTCATCAACACAGACACAGGGACGTTTTGATGGTCACACGAAAGCTCCGTGTAAGCTTGTCTTTTGTTCTACAATTGCTCCTTGTGCTAATCGCACGAAACCTTCATCTGTGGCAGCAATTGCCGATGGACGCGGGTGAAGAGGACTGCTTGCGCGACCTACGCGAGGGGTGCGAGTGGGTCGCGTCGCAGTCGACACACTGCACCATCGACGACCAAGGTAGCTCACGGATACCAAACTGACACACTAGAGTCGACCAAGGTAGCTCGGAGAGACCTTAGTGTTTAGACCACAGACTCGACCATATTGACTCCTTATATCGACGCGACCTCTCAAAGCGACTCAAAGGACGGTTCACTGATAGCATGTATAAGCGATCTGTCCCCTGCATGGGTGTTGCTGACTTAGTGTTTTTATCCAGAATTAATAAGAGGCTGAAACTTCGTAGTCTGAATCGTTAGGAATTCGCTGGTATGTCTCAACTGCGTTGATCCTAGGCTCCATGGATGACCGCTCTGTAATAGCTCCGCGATCCTAATTTCGTGACTGGTCATTCTGTCCATGGCTCCGTCTATTCTAGCTCCGCCGCACCTAATTATCTTCGTCGTCTCCTCGTATCTGCACTGCACCTAATTGTGATAACATTCGCTTTTTTTTGCGATTTGCTTCTTTTTCTTGTCGCACCCATTCTGACCCTTCCAGCGGTTGAGGCGCTTGCCGATGCGCTGTGCCCGTCAAATCGCTCTCAGCCTACCGCCAGCCCAACAGCCGAAGCTGCATCCAATCCTGAGACAGCTGCTGCTACAACCGACGCTACAGCCGGCGGTGCTGGAAGCATCACCTCAGGAGGTCACGGCTTGAGACTACCGCCGTGGAATTTCGACGGAGTGCATTTCACGGATGGGGGGCCTCTCACCGTGCAGTACCTGCTGCTGCTCGACGCCCTCAACTTCTGCTTCTGGCCGGGTAACTTGGTAACATGGTAACATCATAACACGGTAGCATGGTAACATGGTATGGAGTGACATGTGGTAACATGTGGTGCAACATGGTGTGACCAAGGTGTGCCCAAGGTGTGCCCCAAGGTGTGTCCAAGGTGTGCCCAAGGTGTGCCCAAGGTCTGACCAAGGTGTGACCAAAGTGAGACCAAGGTGAGACCAAAGTGAGACCAAGGTGAGATTAAGGTGTGCCCAAGGTGAGACCAAGGTGTGCCCAAGGTGTGACCAAGGTGTGACCAATGTGTGACCAAGGTGTGACCAAGTTGTGACCAAGGTGTGACCAAGGTGAGACCAAGGTGTGCCCAAGGTGTGCCCAAGGTGGGCCCAAGGTGTGCCCTTGGTGTGCCCAAGGTGTGCCCTTCAACCACCCATGGTAAGACTCTGTGCGGACCGCCTTCTCAAGTAGCCTCACCAGACCCATGCCAAACATCTCTTTCTCATCCCCCCTAGAGCCTCACGAGACCAGGCCTACAAAATTTCGTTATCCTTCTTATTCCTTCTCAATCATCCCCTCGCTTTCCCCTATCCACTTCATCCACTCCTTGCGCTTCGTCCCCTCCATCCACTTCACGCCCACAACAGACCCCTCACTGCACTACGAGCATCTGGCGTCCAGCCTAAGAGCAGCAGTGCAGCGCGATCCCACCAGCATTGGTGCTGCCCGCCCTCGCAGCGCTTGATGGTGCGTGCAACAGAGTTCTCTCACTCTCTGATCCGCGATGAGAATCTGATGATTGCTTGATTGATGGAGTCTTTTGGCTGATGGAATCAGGTCGACATGCAAGTTTGGCAAATTTTCTCGCTCCCTTCTTGTGCTTCCCTAGTACGCATTCCCTTCAGCCTCTTCTGTTTACCTCTCGTTCTTGTAAAGCTCGTCAATTGCGCATTGTGCTTGAGACCCCTCGCCTCCCCCACCCCATCTCCCACTTGAGAACCAGCAGAATCCTCAAACCAACCATTCCCTGAACGCCCTGAATTCCCTTGACCTGATTCTGCCAGTCGCAGGCCTGCGTGCTCTGCTTGGCCCGAAGCCCTTCCCGTTGGAGCAGCAGCGGGTGCAGGCAGCGCGGCAGGTGGGGCAGGTGCTGCTGCGGCGCTTCAGTGGCAGTGCGGCGAGCATGGTGGAGGAGGCAGGGGGGAGTGCAGAGAGGCTCGTGTGCCTGCTCACCACACACTTCACCTGTGAGTGTGCCTGCTCACCACACACTTCACCTGTGAGTGTGCCTGCTCACCACACACTTCACCTGTGAGTGTGCCTGCTCACCACACACTTCACCTGTGAGTGTGCCTGCTCACCACACACTTCACCTGTGAGTGCTGTCCATCATGGCACAGCGTTCTGGTGCTGAGCCGCAAGGCCGCATGGCCTCCAGAATTTAGTCTCTTTGATCCTTTTTTTGTTTTTGTTTTTTGCTGCTCACTTATACTGTCCCCATCTCCCCCCTGCCCCCTCCCCTTCTCCCCCCATCCCCTCCCCCATCCTCCTTTCCTGCCTTTCCTCCCCGTTTTTTCTCTCCCAGACTTCCAGGATCACGCAATCTACCGTGGCCGCCAGGTGGCGCTCTTCAAGAGGGCGCAGATCTTTGTGGCAGATGTGTGGGGCGCGTTCAATGGGCGTGGGCTCGGTCACTTCTCAGACATCCACCGTCTCACCATGTTTGCCGACTATGTGGTCCCCGCCGTGCTGAGAAGCAGAGGCGTGCTCAGATACGCCCCGGGCATTGCTGCTGCTGTGGATGGCAAACAAGAGATTCTCCCGGGTAGGCTGGGTGGTTTTCCAGGTACGTTCACGATCCATCAACCGCCTCACCATGTTTGCCGACTATGTGGTCCCCGCCGTGCTGAGAAGCAGAGGCGTGCTCGGATACGCCCCGGGCCTTGCTGCTGCTGTGGACGGCAAACAAGAGATTCTTCCAGGTAAGTTAGGTATTTGTCTGGTACACGTACAGAATGCACCGGTATGCGCTCCATGCTTTATCCTCTGTTCACTTGTGTGGAAATGTATGGGGTGGAGAGGCAAGAGGGTGCCTAAAAAAGATGTCTCGATTTTCACCAACCTGCTCTTCATGGTTTCTTGTTCCCGTGATAGGTTCGGAAGAAGAGGTGGAGATTAGAGCGTGCTGCATCGTTGCCACCGAGCGGCTTCGAGAGCGATTGGAGCGTACAGTGGGGAAGCAGGTGAGATGACACTACAAGGTAGTTTGAGGAAGTATCTGGATTGTATGAAGGCTGGAACTGGACTGTTTTCACTATGCCGTCAATTCCCCTTCTCGCGAGTTACAATTACTTTCTTGTTTTGCGTTCCGTTCGTGCTTGACAGGTTCCAAGCATAGAGCTAGACTGGTTGCTTTGGTCGCAGGGAATAGAAAATGCTTCGCCATTGTGTCATCATCGCACAATTACAACTTATTATTGAGGGAAAGGCCTTTGATGCAATAGGCTCATGCCCGTTTTGGTCTGGCGCTGCTTACACTGTACATAATGTAGTGTTCTTTGGGTTTGTCGCCAGGGTGTTTCTCTCCTGCGTTGTATGTGGATATCTCTTGATTGACAGAGTGAGTGAAGTATGCTTGCAGGCGACACCTGCATCTGCTCCTCCAAGCTCACCTCACAAAAGCATCTGGTTACAAGCGTGGTAGAAAGGGAAGCTGTCTCCAGCTTCACACTCTTTGAGTTGAATAGTTTCCAAAGGCTTCGTGCAGTACTGAATGTTGTACGCCAGTTTTGCAGCATGCACAACTCTCGTAATGGGGAATCTATTATCGACTCATTGTTTTGATTGGTTGTACATAATTATCTTCAGATCAGAAAGGGCTGACTCAGTTGAAAGCGAACCAATCCTCCCAAGAAGCCCATCCCGGACCGCGTTGCCAGCACACAGAGATGTCCTTTTATCGTGGAACACCGCCATGCCAGCGGAGCAGCGGTCGCGCCATTCTGTCCAGGCAGATGGAGATGACATGACAGCGCAGTGAAGCTCACTCGTGGGAACCACTGAATATACCGCCAAGCCCGATGGACCATCCGTTCCGACTTGGCAGCTGCGGATTTGCGAATTTCCTGAACTAGATGTAACAGGGGTGATTTCGCCAAGCAGATTGAACATTTATTTCGACTTTTATCCACAAGCGCTGCGGGGACTTCGACGCGGTTCGGCGACATCTGGTTTGAGCGTGCGGGAGGGCCCAGCAATGCGCAGATGCAGTTTCTTGGGTTGCTGCAATGCGCCTCAATTTGCGCCTCCCGCACGCCTCACCTTTGCACCCTCACCTTTGCCTCCTCTGTTCTTCACCTTCGCGCCTCATCGTTCCGCCTGACCTTTGCGCCTCATCTTTGCGCCCCACGACCTCGCCTCAATTCTCAGGCAACAAGACAGCGCGACGTTCTTGGCGCCTTCGGTCCTCCCCCCACTGCAAACAGCAGCACACGCAAACTGCCTTCGTTCCCAGTGTGTGCATGGCAGAAAGCTATGTTCCCCATGCCAGCATTACAGTGGGGATCCGCCAACACACAATTCGGCAATCGAACGCAATCCCGCCCCGCTTTCTGCCCACCCTTCCTTTTCTGCCGATCGACCATCACCATCACCATCATCAGCTCACCTCTCGTGCCCGAGAACGCTTATATAGAAGCAAGCACAGCGCAAGCATAATTTATCTTTCGAGGTCGCTTCATCTGTCAATTGCGGTTCTCGCGATCAATTCGTTCAATCGAGACTCGATTCGCTCGCTTGTTTATCAGCTCAGCGACCACAGCTTGTGATACTCGTGCCCATTCCTGATTATTATTGAAAAAGCCCTTTTGATTGGCCCCTGCGCGAAAACATGGCGGCAGCTCTCCTTTCCCACACGGCCTCCGTGCCGTTAACCGTCGCATGCGCGAAATCGACCCCAACTCCTCGCCAGCGCCTGCAGTCGAACTTCGCGGGGTCCAGCCTCCGCCTCCCCGCGCGCCTCCCCCAACTCCGCGCGCGGAAACCGGCGGGAATCTTCGCCGTGATCGAGATCGAACAAGAGGACATCCTCACCACGCCGCACCAGCCGCCCAAGACGATCCTGGAGAAACTCGAGGAAATGGATGACGTGGGCGTGCCGCACAAGGTCTGGCTGTCTGACGTGGTGACCGTGAAGAAGCGCCCCTATTTCTTCAACCGCGAGTGGCTACCCAAGGATATCGGATACGCCGCGTTTCTCGGCAGCATCCACTTGCTCGCCCTCGCCGCGCCCTTCACCTTCTCGTGGGAGGCGTTCGAGTGCTTCGTCGCCATGTACGTCATCACAGGTGCGTGCTGACGTCGTGCCACGGAGCACCCGGAACGGTCCGATCAGTTCCTACCGAATGGCCGCGACCAAGTCCGTGATCGCTCACCGTCATGCTAGCTCGTCCCGTGTTATTTCTTCCGTGGTTTTGACGGGATATGGCAGCGTCAATATTCATGCTCATGAGATCGTGCGTTTCTCTGTGTGATGCAGGTATGTTCGGCATCACGCTGTCGTTCCATCGCCATCTGACTCACCACAGCTTCATACTGCCCAAGTGGCTTGAGTACACCTTCGCATACTGCGGCGTGCTCGCCTGCCAGGGCCCCCCCGTTCGAGTGGGTGAGCGCGCACCGCGTGCACCACCGCTGGTGCGACAAACCCGAGGATGTCCATACGCCCTATGAGGGGTTCTGGTACAGCCACGCCGGCTGGCTGCTCGATAATGAGGCACTTAACGCCAGGGTACGTCTATTCTTTCCATGTTATTACCCCCGTTCAATGAACTCAAATGTCCAGATTCGTAACGCGGTTACTGATTTATCGTACGTGGTAACTCTGCAGCTGGAGGGGAAGAACAACATCTACGATCTGACCAAGGACCCGTTCTACCAGTTCATCGACAAGACCTACGTGTGGCACATCGTCGCGTCCGTCGCCGCGCTCTACGCGCTCGGTGGCTTCCCGTTCGTCGTCTGGGGCTGGGTAAGTCGTCAACCGGCAGCACCTCACTGACTCATCAGCATTCACCTCTCCTTCGGGGGTTTGTAAAAGTCGTCGTTACAACGTCTTCATTCTAACCGTTTAATGTATATTTATTTATATGGAATGATGTGTTATGCGTGCAGGCTCTGCGCCTAGTGTGGGTGTACCACATCACGTGGTTCGTGAATTCCGCGTCGCACGTGTGGGGCGACCAGCCGTGGAACACGGGCGACCTCTCCCGCAACAACTTGTACGTCGCGCCCATTCTCTCTCTGTCGGCCTCACTCTTCATCCTCCCTAATCCCCACTGCTCACCCGTATTCCCACCCCATCGCACTCGCATCACAATAGTCGCCCCATTTCGCCTGTTACAACTTAGGAGCATGTCAACAATTCTAACCGATGGGAAAATAAGAAGCAAATAGAATAAGGTTGTTCCTATTCCTCGAAAAACGCCCGATTATATGCTACGCTTTTTCCAGGTGGGTGGGCATTCTGGCATTCGGCGAGGGCTGGCACAACAACCACCACGCGTTCGAGTACTCGGCGCGCCACGGTCTGGAGTGGTGGCAGATCGATATGACGTGGTACACCCTCAAGCTGCTGGAAGCCGTCGGATTGGCCACCAATCTGAGGTATCCGCGTGAGAAGCACATGAAGAAGCTCGCGTACCCCGATTCGCCCCTCGCCAAGTCCTGAGCGTTGCTGGTGTACCCAACAGTACCGAAATAAGCTGCGAAGCATTTGAATTTATCATTTGCAACGGTTCAATAGGGTATGATGTGGTGCTGGATCTTAAAGCACTCTCTTAGGTGCTTATAGGTGCTTGTTGCAAGCCTGAGCAGATTTCCCCTTGTGCTAAGGGTTAGGTATATACCTAGTAGAAATGCTGGGGCACAATAGGGGAGCTGCTGCAAGGTGTAGTTGCTTTCTCTTGTTTCATTGCTCAAACCTTGTTATGATTTGTGGTTGTATATTGGAAGAAAAGCCACTGCATTCAACCGACTCTCCCAAGTCAGTCTGAGATGGATGGGCTATAGCCACAGCATTAAATCTGAGATGGACGGGCTACAGACAGTGTTCATGTGCCAGTAGGCATTCATCAACCCTGATCACCAAAATAGCCAGACTTGGGATTAGCCACAGCACAACAGTCATACGGCATGAGCCTACAAGCAGATCAAATGCACTGCTCTGGGATGGCCTGCAAAAGGCTGGAAAACGGAACTCTAGCAGAGGACAGGAGGTTGCGGTGGTGATGCTGCCACCGCCTTGCCTAATAACCCCTCTGCATCCATACCCGGTGGGATAAAGAGCAGGTCCCCCCACAACGAGTCCTCATCGTTCCTCTGTAAGGGTAGTGGGAGGAAAGATAGAAACCTGGTTTGAATGGAATACGGTAGCAGGGATACCTGCCGTAAAAGATGCCAAAGGGCGAAGTTTTGGTCCATTCATTAACATGAATTAAAGAGTAGCTCCAAAAAGCTCACCTCAAGCATTTTGAGTACTTCTTCAAAACTGCCAACCTGGGTAAGAAGAACCAAACAAAGAAAAGCAGCAGGGACAAAAGAGTTTCACAGCTTGAGCCAGCCACACTCTATAGCGCACCTCTGTATGGTCACACTGTCCAAGGCTCTACATCACTTGTACAGTACACGGGGATAAGAACACTGCACATATGCACAACGTAACGGTGCTCCATTTGAACTTGTAATCACGTGTGCACCCTCCAGTCAACCCCTCCCTGCCCGGCATCACACCTGTATGTTGTTGGTGACTCGCATGGTAGGGTTCACTGCCTGCTTCCGCTTGATAGCCCTCTAGCTGCAGGGTGTGTTTTTGAGAAATTCCCAAAACACCCTGCAGTCTTCCCCCCTTCTCTGGCATCACACCTGTATGTTGTTGGTGACTTGCATGGTGGGGTTCACTGCCTGCTTCTGCTTGATAGCCCTCTAGCTGCAGGGTGTGTTTTTGAGAAATTCCCAAACACCCTGCAGTCTTCCCCCCTTCTCTGGCATCACACCTGTATGTTGTTGGTGACTCGCATGGTGGGGTTCACTGCCTGCTTCTGCTTGATAGCCCTCTAGCTGCAGGGTGTGTTTTTGAGAAATTCCCAAAACACCCTGCAGTCTTCCCCCCTTCTCTGGCATCACACCTGTATGTTGTTGGTGACTCGCATGGTGGGGTTCACTGCCTGCTTCTGCTTGATAGCCTCTTCAGCGCAGCATCCAAATCCTCCTGTGAGCAGCCCGAACATAAGTTAAGGGAGTGAGGGCGAAAGGGAGA